ACCGGGACAACACGGGTCACCGGGAGAGAGAAACAGAAAAACGGCATTAAAACGCACCCCCCCACACACACACACTTTGAATTGAAACGGCGATTAAACAGAGGAAAGTTCTGATGGCGATCACGGAAAAAAAAAAACAGCCACTCACGCACCTTACTGGTTAGCAGAAGCGCGGCCGTGACCTCCTGCGCGGTCTGTCTGGTCCGTATCGATAGCGTGAGGACGCGGATCAATGCGACTCTTCTAGTGGCGTCTCTCCCACCCCCCCTGACACCCCCCCTCACCCACCCCGGGCGCTTGAAACGGTCGCTTGGGAACCAGCTATTGTCCGGGCTCTCCCCGGGGAGGGGGGGTGAGGGGGGGGCGAGCGAGGGCCGAGGGCCCCGCCGGAGGGGAGACATCAATGCGCTTTGTGTGGAGCCCGCCCCGCAACCGGCTCTCCCTGGACGTGGATGTGGACAGGAGAGAGAGGGGGGGTTCCGAGCTGTTCCCGATGCCCCGCGGGGTCAGTCCTCTCCGTTTCTCGCTGTAACGACGAGACGTTTCGATGGCAGCGCGCACCCGTTTCATAACCACGCAGCTGACGTTTCTGTTGTTGTTGTTGGGGGCTGAGAGGGGAGGGGGGGCGGTGACACCCCAGAACTCTCTAAAGGAATTACAAACAGTCCCTAACGGGAGGGGTTTAGGGCCGCACAGTGGCGCACGCGCAGCTGCCTCACAGCCCTGGGGTCCCGGCTCCCAGTTTCAGACCTGGGGGTGCTGTCTGGGGGGAGTTTGCACGTTCTCCCCTATGTTCACCTGGGTTTCCCCCTACAGTCTGGTGGGTTAATTGGTTACTGGGATAATCTGGCCCTGGTGCGAGTGTGAGTGTGTCTCGTCTTTTCCTGTGATGGACTGGCGTCCTGTCCGGGGTGTACCCTGCCTTGTGCCTGTTGCATGCTGGGATAGATCTCCCCCACCACGTGACCTTGCACTGGATAAAGGAATTTGAAAATGGAGGGATGGATGTTACATAGCGCCGTACACCCCCCCCCCCTCGTTCAGTTTCCGATGTATTTCTGCTGAGGGAACTCTCCAGGTCTACCCACTCCTGGAGGATTCAAGGTGGCAAGAAACGGCAGTAGAAAACGAGTGGAAATATCCTTCTTTAAAAGGGAGCCACTACTCTTTATTTTTCGGTTTCAGGGTCAGAAGGAATCGGCGCTGATGAAGGCATTTCAAACCACCAGAACAGGAAAAAGGAGACTGGAACATGTGAAAACTCCCATTTACACCACAAACTAGAGGAAAGCCGCAGGTCTGTGCTTCAGAACGAGGCAGCAGGACTTCAAGTGAGGTGGAGCGGCCCTGTGACCCTGTAAACAAGCAGGCTTGTGAGTCCAGCTCTTCTAATCCAGTAGAAATACTGCTCTCCTCTCCCAGACGGTTTCACTGGCAAATACCTCACTGGTTAACTCTGCCTGTGGATCACACTGGAACATTTCTGCGGTGAAATGTCTGCTGCACAACCTGGACTTATTGACTTATACATGCAGCCCTATCGCCCTGCAGCTCCCCTCTGGCAGCCCCACTGGAGACTCAGCAGGTGGGAGCCTGGCCAGTACCTGGAGGGGGAGACTCCTGGGAAAAAAAACTTCTAGGAAAGAGTAGGGGTGTTACCCCGGTGTCCTGGCCAAATTCCCCCCCCCCCTGGCATTTACCCATCATGGCCTCCTAATAACCCCCCTCTCTGAACTGGCTCCATCACTCTGCTCTCCTCCCCACTGAGAGCTGATGTGTGGGGAGCGGACTGGCGCCTCATCCAGGTGGGGGTACACACTGCTGGGGGGTAGAGGGGATCCCCAGGACCTGGAAAGAGCTCTGAGTGGAGGGTCCAGAAAAGCGCTATAGAAGTTTCAGCAATTATTAATTATAATTATTATTACATCAGAGGGCTCTGTGGCTGAGGATCTGTGCCTGTGGCTGGGAGGTTGCCGGTTCGTATCCCGCTGCCGGCAGAGGAATCCTACTCCGTTGGGGCCCCTGAGCAAGACCCTTCACCCCAGCTGCTCCAGGGGCGCCGTATAAACGGCCGACCCTGCGCTCTGACCCCCAGCTTCTCTCTCCCTGTCTGTGTGTCCTGGAGAGCAAGCTGGGGTCTGTGAAAAGACACATCCCTAATGCAAGAAATTGTATAGGGCCGATAAAGTGATCTTATCCTACATTAGTCATAACAGGGACTAGTGAGCAGGAAGGGCCACTTCACATCCCAATTCTCATGAACTCCCAACAAGATGGAGCCTTACAGCACTTTCCCAAAGTTCACAATTTTGTGCTCAATTCAAAACCCGTCAATCTTTTCTATAAACATCAATGAATTGATTTTGCTACCGGCATTTAATAAGAGGTCTGAGAAACTGGGTCAGCAGGTTAAAGGGAAGAGATGTTTGTGTCTGTATCAAGTACAGCACTTGGGGAAGGGTGCTTCCTTTGCAAGGCGCTATATGGAGAAAAAAAAAGCTGGAGACGCGTGGGCGCTGTGAGCCGAGGAAGGAATTTTCAGGCCAAAAAACGGGCTTTCAGCTGCAGGAAGCTGGGGGGAAACAAATCGGTGTCGCACCGCAGCTCCTGGCAAGCTAAACTCTCCCAGTGCGACACAGATAAACCTCCCCCCCCCGACTCCTGCCTGGTGCTGTTGGCTCACCCTGTTCGATCGGCTCGGTTTAAAACACAGACTGGATCTGGCTCAAGGCCGGGAGAAGTTGAGAGAGGATCAACACGCTCATAAAAAGTGCGATTTCTCCATGGTCACCCCCTTCTGCGACCCTGAAATTTAAGGGTGTTATTCAGTGCCGGTAATCACACCGACACCCTGGATAAGGGCGAAGAATACACGTTTTATGATTATTATTAAAGCTGTGACACAAGTAAATGGCTTAATCCCACTGGTTATAGGCTAACTTCATATTTTTTCCCCACCCAGTGAAAACTAGATTGCGCGTGCTCAGCAGTGGACTGGCGTCC